TGCGGACTTCCTTATAAGCTGCATAGCATCGCGATTCCAAAGCAATAATAAGATAAAAACGGTTCCATCCATAACACGAACTTGAAGCCTATACCTGCAACTCAATTTTGATTAACTTTATGCATATTTTTATAAAAATTTATATATATTAGTAATTACCTGTGAGTAATAGAAGATGCTTCTTCATTGCATTTCTTACAAAAGTATGTAGTACCAACTTTGTCAACCTTTCTAGTACACTTGTTGCATGCCAAGTATGACCATCCCCGGTTAAGTTCCAAATTCACCAATTTTGCCGCAATCCAATAGCTACATTCCTATTTAACATAAAGAAAATATTATTGTAAATGCAAAACATAACGTACATATAATATTATAGTAAATTAAAATCATTTGCATGCACTGAACTAAATAATAATTTTAAACAATACAAAACCTTAGTCATTGTAAATGCAAAACAGAAAACATAAGGTAAATAAAATCGTAACACTAAATTAAACTCACCTCCGTACACTGAACTAAATCCCTAATAGTTTTAAACAGTACAATTCCTTTGTCTAACTCATCTCTAACAGAGTAACTTTGCTGTGAATTTGTTTGGGTGATCCGCTCAAAGTTTGATTGACGTACTGCCAGGAATCTGCATAAGTCGAAAATTAAGGAAGATAATGAATATATAAGAAATGCAAACTTTTGTTCTGTAGGTTTATGAACTTTTGTCATGTAGGTTTATAATATACAAATTTATGAACATTTGCCGTGCATATATAAATTATTATTTACCTACTAATTTGTTTTGTCAATACTATTTTTATATTTTTTGTACATATAGAAAAGGATTATACACTTGACAAACCTGGATTTAAACTCAGTAGATTGCGGCAGCGTAGGATTAATCCATATCTTTGTCTGATACCAACAACTACGCACTGAGTAATTACATGTGTATTAGATTTACTATAATTATAAATCTGAAATTATATAATATTTATAAACTAAAATTGAAAAAACATGTAATTAATGGTAAACCTCGAAATTTTTGAGCTTTCATATGTTGGAAAACAACAATCAAAGGTTCTTCTGTAGATTCATTCAAGTGATGGTGAATTTGATCCACAAGTTCACTCCACAAGGTTGCCAAAATCATGTTCCTCCTATACGTTTTATGGCAAAACTTAATCAACAACAATATAGGTAGTTTTATTGTAAAGTATTGTTTTTATTTACGAATGACTTACTGTTCATCCTCGAGTACAACATTAATAAGGACACTTTGGTCGTCTCCTTGTTTGTAGGTCTTAACATCTTCATAGGTACAACCTGACCAACAACATCTATAAATATAAAAGCTAGTAACATAGTTTTACAAAACCTACTATTTGAATAAAAAGGAAAAGAAGAATTACCGAATAATTCTGTCTCATCGACATAATGTTGATTTGTTAGTTGGTCAAAAGGGCGCAAGTTAAAGATGTTCATATGAAAAGAAGGATCAGTTGTTTCCTCAACAAATGTCTTTTGTGTAAATGTCAGCCTGAGGTTGTGTGTCGTAGTCCTCAACTTCAAATTATTTGGTCCGACAACAAAGTAGTTCATACGATATAAGCGAAGTTCCTGTATCTTATTCCTAAAAAACTTAACAACATACTTTCCGATTGAAGCATGTATACGATCACCCTACAAAATCATATTTCTATTAGTGCAGAATTATGAAGCCAACATTAAGAGACCAAAAGATGAATACTTGTACTACACAAATTTTATATATAGGCGTAGTTTTTGTATGTTCATCCGATGATGGTTTAAGCAAGGCAACCAATATGTAATATATGCCAGTTTTTTTATATTTTGAACAAAATAGATGTTATTAAGTACAAAACTGCGATATAGGCGAGTTTTATATGTATATATATATATATATATATATATATATATATTATAACAATGACTGCCTAAAATTTTCGTCTACGCTTCAAGTCATAAAACATAATGCTACAGCCTGTTCTATTTCAGTTAAAGAACTTTTTATATGGATTTGCTCAACGTTTGAAGGCAACAAAAAAGAATATGATAACATGTTCAATGCTCAACGTTTGAAGGCAATCAACGTTTGAAGGCAACAAAAAAGAAATTTTCGTTCACTGATGCACAAAGTAAGTAAAAGAATGAGGCAAAAATAACATTACCTTCGAATCCTGTAAAACCAATTCAATTGAAAGCGGTATTTCCGGCTTAAATCGATCCGGAATTACCCACATTCGAACGACTCTAACTTTAAGATTCCATTGCATCGAGTTACCTGAAATTTGGTTGATATCATGAAATTGTGTAGCCATAGTTGCAAAGCAATTTCAGACGGAGTAGATAAAATAGAGAGTTGAAAAGGATTCAAAAAAGATAAAGCGCATAAATATCAGTTATGGAAAATAAAATACTACTAAAAGGAACCAAATCCTAATGCTCTGAATTTATTCAAAGACTATTTAAAAAATAATAGTGAAGGATAGAATCAAAACCTTAGCAAAAGAGTTCCAGTAATACAAGAAAGAGAGCCAGTACAATTCCAATCCAATATCGAAACTCACGCCGGACAAAATAGTAGCACGTCGAACCCGAAGCCACGAACGGAAACTCGACCTCCTAATTACACGAGAATCTCTCAAACCTTTATCTACAAAAACTTCTTTCCTTTTTCTTTTTTACTCTTTCTTTGTTCTCTTCCGTCTCCTTCTTTCTTTTTTTGCTTTTTTCATGTTTTCCAGTTCTTTGTTCCCTTTTTCTTTTGTCTTTTCACTTTTTGTTTTTTTTGCTTTTTGTCAGATCCTTTTTTCCTTTTTACGTTCTTTTCTTCTTTGTTCAAGATGTCCCTTTTATATTGTGATGTAGTGTGTATGTGTGAAGATTATGGAGGAGAAGAGTGGGAACGTGGGTTTTGAAGTTGGGGGGGGTTAGAAATTGTGGGGTAGAGACGTGAGGGAGTGGGAAGTTTGGGAGGTTTTTTTTTTTTTAACTTTATATATATTTCTTTAACTTTTCTTAACCCCTTTTTTTAATTAAATAAAAGAAGATAAAACACACTTACATACATACATACATATATATATATATATATATATATATATATATATATATATATATATATATTTCTTTACCTTTTCTTAACCCCTTTTTTAATTAAATAAAAGAAGATAAAACACACTTTTATATATATATATATATATATATATATATATATCCTAGTNGGTTAAAATTGAGGTAACTAGCAAAATTATTGAGCAAATTACGATTCAACTATTTTATAAGTTAGTAACTCTCAACAAGTAAGGATAAAGCTTAATATCTTGGTATTGTCCTAGATTGTGTCCTTGGAAATTATCATCTGTTTTAATGTCAGCCTCAGAATGTTGTCCTAGTTTTTAATTTGTTGTCTTGTAAACACAATTGTGAATCCAACTTTAAGAAATAGATAGAGTAATACACAAAATTGTTTCATATATAAGCAAAACTTCTGTATGCTCGTCCTAAAGAAATAAAAAAAAAACTTTCAGATGATAAACTTTCAGAAACAGAAATAGAATACCGGTTCTACACATAATCGTTTAATTAATACAATTTATTGTGGAAAATATATCCATTAAACCAGCAAAGAAGAGAGGCTTGAAACGATCCGGAATTTCTTTGAAGGGCTCTAACTTTGAGATTCTGTTGAGTTGCTTGAAATTTGACTGATTTTATGAAGTGTTGTAACCATATTTGTAAAGTTGTGTATTTTGAGCAAAAAAAAAGGGACAGAGTGGACAGTGTAGGAAAAATTTTAAGTTATGGAGTTAGGTTTTGATACCCACGTTTGCAAAGACGATCGTGGAGTATTTGGGATCGTGGAGTTTTTTTTTCTTTTTTTTTCTTCCTGTTTGTAAAATTTTCTATTTTTTGTCAAATTTTCAGGTTTTAATAAACTAAATAAAAAACTAATAAAACAACGTGGGTGTTGTAATTTTTTTTTAGTTTTCAGTTTCAATAAATAAATGCCCAAAAACGTGGACTCCATGATGTGAATAAATTTTGTAAGTTTTTTTTTTCTTATTTTAAGTTTTTTTGAATCTCCAAATTTATTGGAGGTTGGTCCTAAAACTTTACACATATTGATATTTGGTTGTGACACTTGGTACAATAATATAGCTTTGCTTTTCCTATTCTATATAGATAGATTACTATGATATTTTGATTTGAAGCTTGATAATTACAAGCACTATTTTATTAGTTCTTTCTCTGAGAATGACTGATCCTTAATCAAATATCTCATTAGGCTGCCAAGTCTGAATTTTCGGTTTAGTTATAGAACAATTACCTTTTTCAATAGAATTTTGTATTGATGTTTACATGTTGCATAATAGAACAATTCTAGTGTATTTCAATAAAATTTGTTCTGATCTCTTAAATTTTGCCGAGTAGTTATTCCTTTTAAGTCAGAGGATGGAATTAAAAGGAGACTTTTTCCTTCCTATACCATATATGAAACCTTATTATAAAAAATGTGCATAGTTTTATATTTACCCGTCATATTTACAGTTTTTTTATAATTATTATAACATTTATTAAATATTCATGTTGTTAAAGCTTTTCGAAATGCCTCAAGGACATCTAATTCGCTGTACACGTGACTTCCTTCTTGATAATAATCCTTCCCCAAGGAAGTCTTCTCGTGAGTCCACCAGTGGCCGGTGTTGAAGATTAATATATCTGCATTTTTATATTTATCAGCAGACTGTCCAATTATAATCAACATCTCAGAACAGTTAACTTTATTTATATCTTCATCATTTGTAAAAGTAATTTAGAAAATCTACTAAATCATTAGTAATTTTCCAGATCATAAATACAGAAAATTATCCAAATATCATATATATATCCGACTTCTCTCTATTTCTCAATCGCAAATTTCAGTAATACAAAGCAAATGAAAAGAGAGCAGCAATTCCACCATTGACAGCCATTAAAAAGCTTGAAAGCTTTGAATTCAAATTTGGATTTTCAAAAATCATTATTTGATTGGATTGGGTATTGTTGAAAATAATCGGCGTGGGCACGTGATTTTTGCCCTATATGAATTACTCCCATAAATTCAAAACAAAATAATTTCTTTCCCTAGCCGCCGCCTTTGAACCCTCCGCCGTGGCCGGCGACGCCACCACCCAAACACCACCAAATTAACACCAAACCATCTCTACAACCCCCTCTTCCCTAATCTATAGCTAATAACTCTCGAATCACCTTCAAGATCTTCGAATTTCAAATCACAGTTGAGCCCTAATTTCAAAAATTCCGGGCTCCGGTTTTGTTAAAGATTTAGGTGTATTGTGATGTTATTCGTGTGTTCTTTTCAAGAACCCACGATTAATATCATAGTCCACCAAAAATCCGAAGAAATTGAAGATTCAGGTCTTTGTCTCCAGATGTTTGAAGCCCTGTAGGTATTTTTCTTTTATTTCCTTTGATTTTCTGTCTTTTCTTTTGTTTTGCTTTTCCAGTATTAATTATTCCTTCCTCTGTCTTTGAAATTTTATTTTTCTACATTTCGTAGTGTTAATTGCATACATGTTAGTTTTTTAAATAGTTTTCTTTTAAGTAATTAAGAATACTGTTAATAATTCGTTTCAAATTTCATTAAGTACATCAATTTGGAATTAGTAGGGTTGTTGCCCTAATGGCTTCTGTTTTGTTAAATTCATCTTGCAATACAGAATTTGGGGTTCATTTGATTATTTTGGGCTCGAAGGGTATACTCTTAAGCCCAATTTTGGGCTGGTTGCTTAGAGGATTCAACCCCAGGGTCAATTTGACCCATAGCCCGTTTAAGTAAGGTGATTTCAGGAGTTTAGGGGGTATATTAGGTAATTCAATCAGGGAATCTTGCAGTAACCACCTAAGAAACCCCTAGAAGCTTCTAGCAAGGGCTTATTTTAAATTTTGACACTATGACTTGGGTAACAAGTCAGAAAATGAGGGTTTAACTGGCAAAAAATGAAAGTTAGGAGGGACTAGAAGTGCAAGGGAAAACTTATAAGTCTGCCCTATTTGCTTGCCTATAAAGGCATCCTATACCTGCCTTGAAAGGTAGAGCTAAGAGATAGAAATTCCAGAAGAGAGAAATGGCTAAAAATAAAAAGAAAACATTGTTTCATTGATTCTCTTTTGATTTATGAAGTTCTTCGATTACTGAAACATTTTTGCTACTATTTCTGATTGAAATGTTCTGAGTTTGGATTTTGAAAAGCCTTGGGTTAAGTCCTGCTGATTGGCTACTGTTTCATTGGTCTACACAAGCCAA